TGTTTCCCAAGGCCGATTTATACACAATTTTTGAGGGTTATATCCTCCTGCTTACAGTTATCACAAATGCCAATACTGCTGGTCACAGCAGAACTTTTTAACCATAAGTTTTATCTGAACAATACATCTTTTTTTGGGTATATCCCCCACAGTCAAGTATGGTATCTGGGTTTCATAATGTTCTTCTGGACAGGCATCAAAAGAAGTGTGAGGGATATCCCTCTGGTCCCCATTTAACAGTTTTAAGGATTACATATTTTTATCAAAATTATTATCTTTAGTCTTACAAATTATTTATTTAAAAACAAAATATCCCATTACCACCTGATACCATAAAGTAGTCCATAGTATCTTTTTTATAGTTCTTAGTTTTTTAGCTGTCCATTGACTCTCAACCTTCAAAGCAGTGGGAGCGGGGCCTTGAATGTACTGTCTCCTGGAGTTGCAGTCTGTGGAGTTCTCTGGATAAGCTTGCTTCACCTAGAGTGATGAATCCACAGTTGGACTTCAGCCACCTTGGCAGCTGTGGGAGTGACCACAAGTGCCTCATATGGTCCTTCCCATATAGGTTTCAAAGGGGTCATTTTTAATTTTTAACATAAACTCAGTGTCCTGGCTTTATCAAATAGGCAGGGGTTAGCACAAAGAGATCCTATTTATCTCTAATATTTCCATGGAAACTTTGGAACACTTTCCCAATTTTAACTGCTGTAATTTCATACTGAATGAACCTGAGATGAATTTCCTCTAAAGTCTCAAGATACAGGGTGGCCTTCCAAACAAGACCTCATATGGGGAGAATACATATAACTTTTGGTATTCCTCATTTTAAGGAGGGCTAAAGGGAGCAAAGCAACCCATGACCCTGGTGCTGTCTGACAATATTTAGTTAATACACTCTTAAGAGCACAATTCATTCTTTCTACCTTAACAGAGCTCTGTGGCTGATAAGCAGTGTGCAGGTACCATTTTATATGTAATACTCTAGCTAGATTTTGTACAGTCTCTGCCACAAATGCTGGCCCGTTATTGCTGCCTATAGAGAAAGGCAGACCAAACCTTGAAATTTTCTCTTCCAGTAAAATCATGCATATCTCTGAAGCCTTCTCTGTTCTTGTTGGGAAGGGCTCCAGGCATCCAGAGTGTACAAACACCAACAAATAAATATTCATAACATTTGCAAAGGGAGATTTCTCTAAAATCTATTTGCATGACCTCAAAGGGAGTTGTGCCCTTCCATTGTATTCTAGCTGGTGCTCTGGGCCCTGAAGTCGGGTTTATTTTTTGACAAATATGACATCTTTTTGAGATTTGCTTACACAAAGCAGAAATCTGAGGTGTGAAGAAATATTTTTCTAACAGTGGTTGGAGAGCTGTCTTTCCTCCATGGGTCAAATCATGATATCTTTTAATCCAATAGTAAGATGGTGTCTCTGGTATCATTATTTTGTTCTCATGTAAAATCTAAACAAATCCTTGTTTTTCAGCCAATTGTTTCTTGGCCCATTTGCCCTTTTTATCTGAGTATTTTATAATAGTTTGGGGCCTTTATATCTTCATATTCCTATTTTGTGCATGGGTGAGTATGACCATGTGAAGTTTTTGTTTAGCTGCCTTTTTGGCTTCTTTATCTGCCTTAGCATTGCCTTTTGCTATTGCATCATTTCCTTTTTGGTGCCCAGAGCAGTACATCACTGCTACTGTATCAGGCTCCCACACTGCCTCCAATAACTGTATTATTTCCTATTTATTCTTAATCTGTTTACCCTCCACTGTGGGAAGACCACACTCTTTGTAAGTTATGCCATGGAGATGTAAAGTGCCGAAGGCATAATGGGAATCTGTATAAACATTTACCTTCTTTCCCTTTGCCTTTGTAGAGCCTGTATAAGTGCCCAAAACTCTGCTCACTGAATTGACCATCTGAGAGGTAAGGATTCCACTTGGACCACTTCAGCTTGAGTTGTTACTGCCTAGCCAACAGAGCATACCCCATTTTTAATGAAACTGCTCCCATCCATGAACAGGATGAAATCAGCATCAAACAATGGATTTTTCTGCAGATCAGGATGACTTGAGAAAAGCTTGGTGATACTGAGACAGTCATGATGAGGGGCCCAGGTTCTGAGAGCAAAAAGGTAGTGGGATTCAAGGTTTTAATTGGAACAAAACATAGGGAAGAATTCTCACAGATGAGGGCCTGATATTGTGTGACCCCATTATTTGAAAGCCACTGATATCCTCTATTATTGAACAGTTCTAGAAAGGCATGGGGAATCTGAATAGTCAAGTCCTGTCATAAGGATAGTTTGTCAGCTTCCTTAATTAGTGTAACTGCAGCTATCAGAGTTTGTGAACAAGGGGGCTATCTCTTTTAATACTCTTTGTTTTTCCATAGCAAATATTATACTTTGAAAAATGACCATTATAAACATATTACAATAAGACATTTAGAGTTCAACCCTTTGATGACAACCAATGTAAATATTTCATAATAACATATTTGAGTAATTTTTACTGATGTCTCTTATGCCTGTAAATGCAAGCCTTTTATAACAAACTTGAAGCCCACACACAAACATACATATTTCCTCAATAAATCACTTCCACACACTTTCTTAATGTACCTAGGCCTCCTGGTCTTGTATATCTCTCTTTATCCTTCTAACAAGAAAAACACGCAAAATCCTTTCATATAAAAAGTATATCTCTTCTACTTATAGCCTTGTTAGTATTTTTCATCCTCTGTCTCACTTACTATAAACCTTCTATATATAACAAATGTATTCAGCTGTTATACATATTACAATAAGACATTTAGAGTTCAACCCTTTGATGACAACCAATGTAAATATTTCATAATAACATATTTGAGTAATTTTTACTGATGTCTCTTATGCCTGTAAATGCAAGCCTTTTATAACAAACTTGAAGCCCACACACAAACATACATATTTCCTCAATAAATCACTTCCACACACTTTCTTAATGTACCTAGGCCTCCTGGTCTTGTATATCTCTCTTTATCCTTCTAACAAGAAAAACACGCAAAATCCTTTCATATAAAAAGTATATCTCTTCTACTTATAGCCTTGTTAGTATTTTTCATCCTCTGTCTCACTTACTATAAACCTTCTATATATAACAAATGTATTCAGCTGTTAAAATTTTTTAAAATTGAATTTATTGGTACATTCTAGGTAGACAGTACAGTTACATTCATTACTGGGATCTTTTACCTTTACATGCCAGGTCTTGGTTTTCATTTTTCCCCTTGTTCCCACCCTCCCTTGACCCCCTTCTCCCCTCCCCACCTTTAAACACTTGATTAAACTGTTAAAATTTTAAAGTGTCCCCTTTATTTATTCTGTTTTCAGACTGTTACATTTTAAAATTTGACTGGCTGTCAATAGAACAGTATTAAGCTTGAGTTCTTCATCAACAAAGTACAGAACAGAGAAGTTAACCCTATAGTCACAATTCAAGAATTTGCAGTGCACAAGAATTATTTCAAGCACACAAATAAAATATCAATTCAAATTGAAACAAAGATACATTTATCAAATAGTTAAAATTTGTAACTTGATAAAATTTGTAAAATCTCTTGATGTCTGATAAACACGATTGCAGTCTCTCTGGCTTTGTTTTGGATTCCAGACCTTTGCAGGCAGCATCAGGCTGATAAAGCCTTGAGTGTTTTTTCTCTTTGTTTTGCTTTGTGTTTTTCAGAACTTTCCTAGCTGTTTTCAATACATTGAAGTTGTTTTTTTTTTTTCTCATTTTAGTTCTTTCTAATCTGAGTGCAAGCCCTGTTCAATTCTCTAAGAGTGTGACTGTGGTTTCCCATCTGCACCCTCTGGTGCAGAAAGTCCAAGAATTTCTTCTCATGTTTTCCCCCCACCTCCTCTGCATCTGTGATCTTAGCAATTCCAGCAGAGGGGGAGGCAGCTTGACCTCCTTCAAAAGGGAAGCACTGGGATTTGCCTGTAACAATGTCACATTTTCTGAGAGAGCCAAGTACACCGTGTGAAGGTCAGCAGATTTGGCAAACAGTTGCTCTAAGACCAAAACTAAACAGTTCTCACCAACAGCTGATTGCCATGGAGCCGAAGCATGAGTGGCTCCTAGGCTGGGTTTTTCAGGCCCCAAAACAAAGCACACAGGCTCCAAGTTGTAATAGTCTTAGTTAAAAACAAAGGGAGATCATTTTTCTTTTGTCTAGAGTTCCCTCTGGGGGCCAAGATTCGCTTAGTTGATAACTCACAAATCTTCCTGAGTGTTTTTTGTGCTTAATTTTGCTCCATAGTCCCCCACAAAATCTTTATTAAAATTCTGAATCACGCACTCAAGAACAGTTGATTTAGTATTTGAATTTCCCATGATGACTAAATATTCCCTTTTTGGTGACACAGGACAAACATAGGGCAGGAATTATACACATACTCACCAGTTCGGCCATGAGGTCTCTCAACCACTATCAGCCAGCCACATTAGAATTAAGGGACACTGCCACATAAGTGTTCTGTTTTGTTCATATTAGACACTGGCCACAGAATCACAGAAACTGGCCACACACAAGCTCTGGGACTCAGGGTGGGAACTTTAAGCATAAACACCCTCTCCCTTTGCCTTGATGCACAGACTAGGTTACCAATTGCTTTCATAGCTCTTTCCACTCATTCTCCTAATCAAATCTATTTCACACATACAATCACAGAAGAAGTTAATGCATTCCCTCACTGGGGCCACTTACAAAGCACAATTACAAATTGAGGACAATCAAACCCTTAAAAAGGGTGAAAAGTTTAGGATGATTAGGCCTGCAGCCTACATTTTGCCCAAACTGAGGATATAAACACTCACAAACAGCAGAGAAGGGAAGGCAATCAGGCCTCCAATCTTTAATCTGTCAAAACATTCATTCAAGAACCAAATCAAAAGCAAAACAAACTAGGGGTTGCCCAGGGAATCTCACCACTCAGAAAGACGATTTCACTCACTTGCCTTCCTTTGCTGTATCTGTTCTGGGTTCATGTGTTCTGCTGTCAGGGAGCTGGCCTCTGAGTACTAGAGAAGGAACACAGGAAATCCTGGGGGTGTACCTCTTCCCTTCTGAGGAGGTGGACAGCCACTCCTTCCTGTGGGACTCGGGTTTGGCCCAACATGAGCTGTGTCAGTTAAGCTTTTCCTTCCTGGCCAACACACCAAATATTGCAAAAGGAATTGGTAAGTGACATGTACAGTGAAGTGCGGAATGGAAGTAAAATAATAAAAGTTATTTTGCCAGTCAAAAGGTTGAATCACACTCAAACAGGCAGTGCTGGTGATCCACCTCCTCCTATCAGGTTACAGCTTCCTCTTTTATAGGTTTTACAGCTATGAGCTCATTCAAGTGGTTACATTTCATTTCCTCAGTTCATTTTACCAATATACAAATTATAGTAACAAGACAGATCACTTTGACTGACACATACCAATTCCTTGCACTTAGGGAGTTTGCCTTAAGAGTCATCTAGCTGTCTATTCTAGCTCACAGGAAGGGATTGTTCAAGGTCAGGAATGAGGCCAAGTAGCCCATTTCATGGTTAATACCACCAGTGTCTGTTAATTTTGAACTAAACAAAGTAGATTTCTATTAGAGGCAGCAAAAGTCATTTTACATTTTCCTAATATTTTGTAGATTTTTAGATAATTTACAAAAGTTCTCTGCATCACAAGTATCCCAGATACTTTGGTGGTTCATTTCCTTTTACAGTCACTTTAGTCATTTACCAGTTATGATTAAGTAAATGTGCATATTTTACTCTCAAGCATTGGTCTGCTGTTACAGTGGCCTCAGCCCCAAATCCTGAAATATGTAGGAAAGAAATTATTTTATCTCCCACATTGCTTTAGCCTACTGAACACAAGCACTTCTCCAAAATCCAAATTTGTTTATTTGATTATTTCTATGGTTATTAAAATTTAGAATATTAAATTCATGGCAGATTAATTTATAATTCCATTCTCCAACACACCATATTCCTAGGCATCTATAAGTATTTACAGCTTTCTCACTGAGGTGTTGTAATCTCTTTCTGTATTCCTCATATCTTAGCTGAACTTGTTTACTTTGGTGAATGGGATGTTGCTGACTGGGCAGAGCACAAGCAGAGTAGAGGGAGAGTTTTCCTGTCTTTTAATTTCTTCATTCCTCTGAACTCTCCAAGAGACTTTACCCTGACTACCCTACTAGTAAAGTCAAGTAATGAAGGCCAGGTAGTTTTGGCTCAGTGGCTGGTGCCTGCCTCCTCAGCCCATCTGGGTGAGTGCAGACAGGAAGGAAGCCCAGCACAGACTCAGTCTGTCTCTTCCAGTGTGGCTGAGCTCCCCAAAATCAATGGCTAGGAACCTTAATAAAAGAAAGGAGGTTAATTCTCAAGCCTCTGAATAAAACTCTGACTATAGCATAAATCCACATATGTAATTTTCTTATTTTTTAATAAAATTTTTTCAGGGATTGATATTTTATTTTCTAGTAGAAACTAACAAAGGCAGACATTTTAAAACTTATGTTTGATTATCAGTATATTTTCAGGAGACACTTTATAATCTACAAACTATGATATAACAACAGGTAGACATCAAAATATATGGAAATGTCCAGTTCTTAAATAAAACAAAATACTTTGTCCTTCTGTCTAATATTATGTTCCTATCTGTGAGAAGTCCAAATGATCAGATGATGATGTTTCAGAATTTTGAAAACATACAGGAAAACAGCCTCACTGTTCCCATTTTATGAGCCTGCATAAAACTATGCTACTTGAAGCTTTCTTGAATATGATCCCAGGTGACATGTATTAGTTATAAAGTAACCTTCAGTAGTCCCATTCTTTAGAAAAGTTCCTTTTCACTTAGACACATAGATGTGTCTTCACTGCCCAATGTAATGCCTGATTGTATGTGATGACTGATTTCCCCTTCTTGGAAGGAAGATTTCCTAAAAGAAAAGTAGTGAAAATGGCTTAAGATGCAGAAGTGAGGGCACAACCAACAAAGGCACAGTTAGGGTATACTCCTATCTTTATTTCAGAAAAAAAAATGGGATGTTATTAGTAGGAAGTCAGTTTAACTTTGATTGTTTTCCTCAAGTGCTCTATGTGTATGGCTGCGTGTGTGCTGTAGGTCCCAAAAGGTAGAAAATCTCCTAACCTAGGAGCTGCATTCACTCTGGGGAAAAAGCAGAGGAGTTTCATGGAAGGGATCAGCCCTGGAGCACAGCAGCAAGGTCAGTTGCCCTGGACAACCTTCTGTGGCACTGCTGGCTAGAAAGCTCATGGACTGTGAGGGTGTCAGGGTGGCCTGTCCCTCACAGCAGTCCCACACCCAGTACTGCCTTCCTCGGGGTGCAGTGCTGGGCAGGGACTTCAAGTGGTCAAATATTCACTTTTATCTTTACATCCTGTCTACAACATTATTTTAAGGGCCTTTTTCCAGATTTTTGAGAAAGAGCCTCCCTCCATAGTTCAAGCTGGTGCAAACATCACTACGAAATCCAGGCTGGGCTCCAAGTCATAGCAATCTTTCAATCCTCCTGCCTCAGGCTACTGAGTGCTGGGTTAGAGACAGGCCACCATGCCCAGCTTT